CCCCCAATTTGGATGGCAGCAGGGTAGACGTGTCCCCGTTTTGGGGTGACCCCTATTTTGGGGGGTAGGGGTAGAGCCCCGGTTGTGGGGGCGGTTTGAGTGGAACGGGATGGGGTGGGGTGGTCCCTGGGTTGGGGTGACCCCCCCTTTTTGGGGTGACCCCCCCTTTTGGGGTGCAGCAGGGTGGGAGTGACCCCCATTTGGGGGTTCAGTGGAGCGAGGGTGAGCCGTGTTTTGGGGCACAACCACCTGCAGACGTTGACCTCTGGGTTGACCTCCATCGCCCCCCCCGCCCCACTTTATTGGAGGGTGGGGTGTCGTCCCCCCCCTTTTTTTGTGGGGTGGAACCCCCTAAGAAGGCAGCATCTGATTGGCCGGTTCCGCAGGTGCTCCGCCCCTTCCTGCTGCGCCGTCTGAAGGTGGACGTGGAGAAGCAGATGCCCAAGAAGTACGAGCACGTCCTCAAGTGCCGCCTCTCCAAGCGCCAGCGCTACCTCTACGATGACTTCATGGGCCAGGCCAGGTGGGGTGGCACGTCCCCATGGGTCACCACGGGTCACCCCGACTCCCCATCCTAACCGGTGTGTCCCCCCTCCCCCCCGCCCCGACAGCACCAAGGCCACCTTGGCCAGTGGCCACTTCATGAGCGTCATCAACGTCCTGATGCAGCTGCGCAAGGTCTGCAACCACCCCGACCTCTTCGAGCCCCGGCCCGTCCACTCGCCCTTCATCACCGATGGCCTCTGCCTCCTCACCCCCTCCCTCGTCCTCCGCGCCCTCGACCCCCACCCCTTCAAGGTGACACCAACCGCCAGCGAGGGGGACGTCAACGGGGTTGGGCTGGGGCGGGGGGCAACCAAGAGATGGTTGGAGGTGGAGTTGGGTTGTCCCCCAGCACCCAAGTGGTCTGGGGGGGCAACCAAGAGATGGTTGGAGGTGGAGTTGGGTTGTCCACCAGCACCCAAGTGGACTGGGGGGGCAACCAAGAGATGGTTGGAGGTGGAGTTGGGTTGTCCACCAGCACCCAAGTGAACTGGGGTGGCCCTGTGGTGGCACTTCTGGGAGGGAGAGGCACTAGGGTGGCCCTGTGGTGGCAGTTCTTGGGAGACAGAGGCATTGGGTGGCCCTGTGGTGGCACTTCTGGGAGGGAGAGGCACTAGGGTGGCCCTGTGGTGGCAGTTCTTGGGAGATAGAGGCATTGGGTGACCCTGTGGTGGCACTTCTGGGAGGGAGAGGCACTAGGGTGGCCCTGTGGTGGCAGCTCTTGGGAGACAGAGGCACTGTGTGACCCTGTGGTGGCACTTCTGGGAGGGAGAGGCACTAGGGTGGCCTCATGGTGGCCCTGTGGTGGCAGTTCTTGGGAGATAGAAGCATTGGGTGGCCCTGTGGTGGCACTTTTGGGAGGGAGAAGCCTCAGGGTGGCCTCATGGTGGCCCTGTGGTGGCAGTTCTTGGGAGATAGAAGCATTGGGTGGCCCTGTGGTGGCATTTCTGGGAGGGAGAGGACACGGGAAGCATCAGATGAAGGGTTCAAGGTCTTGAGTAGGGTCATGGGGACATGGATGACATTTAGCAACAGCCTGAGGTGACAGGGGCCACCCTCTCATTGTCACCAGCACTTGGGGCGGTGCCATGTCCTCGTGGTGGCACCTCTGGGGATGTGGAGGACGTGGAGACCCTCCAGCCCCAGGGCTCTAGGTCCTGGCTGAGGGGGACCGAGCTGGCCCGAGGTGGTCACGGGCCACCCTGTGGTTGTCCCCAGCAGGTGGACATGGGGCTGTTCGACCTGGTGACCCTGGAGGGCCGGGTGTCCCGCTACGCGGCCGACACCTTCCTGCCCCGCTGGCGGGTGACACGGCGCCTGGTGGAGGACATCGCCGCCGCCCCCGACCCCCCCCCGCGCCCCAAACCTGTCCGCATGAAAGTCAACCGGTGAGGGGGGACGTTGGGGACACCGGGGGGGCCTTGGGGACACTGGGGTGGTGGTGGGGCCCTTGGGGACACTGGGGTGGTGGTGGGGCCTTTGGGGACACAAGGGGTTCTTGGGGACACCGGAGTGGAGGGGGAAACTTGGGGACATCAGGGTGGCCTTGGGGACACTTAGGTGGTGGAAGGACCTTGGGAACACCATGGGCACCAGAGGGGTCAACAGGATGGTGGTGGGACCCTTGGGGACACCAGGGGTGGCCTTGGGGACACTGGGGTGGTGGTGGGGCCCTTGGCCACACTGGGGTGGCCTTGGGGACACTGGGGTGGTGGTGGGGCCTTTGGGGACACCGGGGTGGCCTTGGGGACACTGGGGTGGTGGTGGGGCCTTTGGGGACACCAAGGTGGCCTTGGGGACACTTAGGTGGTGGAAGGACCTTGGGAACACCATGGGCACCAGAGGGGTCAACAGGATGGTGGTGGGACCCTTGGGGACACCAGGGGTGGCCTTGGGGACACTGGGGTGGTGGTGGGGCCCTTGGCCACACTGGGGTGGCCTTGGGGACACTGGGGTGGTGGTGGGGCCTTTGGGGACACCGGGGTGGCCTTGGGGACACTGGGGTGGTGGTGGGGCCTTTGGGGACACCAAGGTGGCCTTGGGGACACTGGGGTGGTGGTGGGGCCTTTGGGGACACCGGGGTGGCCTTGGGGACACTGGGGTGGTGGTGGGGCCTTTGGGGACACCAAGGTGGCCTTGGGGACACTTAGGTGGTGGAAGGACCTTGGGAACACCATGGGCACCAGAGGGGTCAACAGGATGGTGGTGGGACCCTTGGGGACACCAGGGGTGGCCTTGGGGACACTGGGGTGGTGGTGGGGCCCTTGGCCACACTGGGGTGGCCTTGGGGACACTGGGGTGGTGGTGGGGCCTTTGGGGACACCGGGGTGGCCTTGGGGACACTGGGGTGGTGGTGGGGCCTTTGGGGACACCAAGGTGGCCTTGGGGACACTGGGGTGGTGGTGGGGCCTTTGGGGACACCGGGGTGGCCTTGGGGACACTGGGGTGGTGGTGGGGCCTTTGGGGACACCAAGGTGGCCTTGGGGACACTTAGGTGGTGGAAGGACCTTGGGAACACCATGGGCACCAGAGGGGTCAACAGGATGGTGGTGGGACCCTTGGGGACACCAGGGGTGGCCTTGGGGACACTGGGGTGGTGGTGGGGCCCTTGGCCACACTGGGGTGGCCTTGGGGACACTGGGGTGGTGGTGGGGCCTTTGGGGACACCGGGGTGGCCTTGGGGACACTGGGGTGGTGGTGGGGCCTTTGGGGACACCAAGGTGGCCTTGGGGACACTGGGGTGGTGGTGGGGCCTTTGGGGACACCGGGGTGGCCTTGGGGACACTGGGGTGGTGGTGGGGCCTTTGGGGACACCAAGGTGGCCTTGGGGACACTTAGGTGGTGGAAGGACCTTGGGAACACCATGGGCACCAGAGGGGTCAACAGGATGGTGGTGGGACCCTTGGGGACACCAGGGGTGGCCTTGGGGACACTGGGGTGGTGGTGGGGCCCTTGGCCACACTGGGGTGGCCTTGGGGACACTGGGGTGGTGGTGGGGCCTTTGGGGACACCGGGGTGGCCTTGGGGACACTGGGGTGGTGGTGGGGCCTTTGGGGACACCAAGGTGGCCTTGGGGACACTGGGGTGGTGGTGGGGCCTTTGGGGACACCGGGGTGGCCTTGGGGACACTGGGGTGGTGGTGGGGCCTTTGGGGACACCAAGGTGGCCTTGGGGACACTTAGGTGGTGGAAGGACCTTGGGAACACCATGGGCACCAGAGGGGTCAACAGGATGGTGGTGGGACCCTTGGGGACACCAGGGGTGGCCTTGGGGACACTGGGGTGGTGGTGGGGCCCTTGGCCACACTGGGGTGGCCTTGGGGACACTGGGGTGGTGGTGGGGCCTTTGGGGACACCGGGGTGGCCTTGGGGACACTGGGGTGGTGGTGGGGCCTTTGGGGACACCAAGGTGGCCTTGGGGACACTGGGGTGGTGGTGGGGCCTTTGGGGACACCGGGGTGGCCTTGGGGACACTGGGGTGGTGGTGGGGCCTTTGGGGACACCAAGGTGGCCTTGGGGACACTTAGGTGGTGGAAGGACCTTGGGAACACCATGGGCACCAGAGGGGTCAACAGGATGGTGGTGGGACCCTTGGGGACACCAGGGGTGGCCTTGGGGACACTGGGGTGGTGGTGGGGCCCTTGGCCACACTGGGGTGGCCTTGGGGACACTGGGGTGGTGGTGGGGCCTTTGGGGACACCGGGGTGGCCTTGGGGACACTGGGGTGGTGGTGGGGCCTTTGGGGACACCAAGGTGGCCTTGGGGACACTGGGGTGGTGGTGGGGCCTTTGGGGACACCGGGGTGGCCTTGGGGACACTGGGGTGGTGGTGGGGCCTTTGGGGACACCAAGGTGGCCTTGGGGACACTTAGGTGGTGGAAGGACCTTGGGAACACCATGGGCACCAGAGGGGTCAACAGGATGGTGGTGGGACCCTTGGGGACACCAGGGGTGGCCTTGGGGACACTGGGGTGGTGGTGGGGCCCTTGGCCACACTGGGGTGGCCTTGGGGACACTGGGGTGGTGGTGGGGCCTTTGGGGACACCGGGGTGGCCTTGGGGACACTGGGGTGGTGGTGGGGCCTTTGGGGACACCAAGGTGGCCTTGGGGACACTGGGGTGGTGGTGGGGCCTTTGGGGACACCGGGGTGGCCTTGGGGACACTGGGGTGGTGGTGGGGCCTTTGGGGACACCAAGGTGGCCTTGGGGACACTTAGGTGGTGGAAGGACCTTGGGAACACCATGGGCACCAGAGGGGTCAACAGGATGGTGGTGGGACCCTTGGGGACACCAGGGGTGGCCTTGGGGACACTGGGGTGGTGGTGGGGCCCTTGGCCACACTGGGGTGGCCTTGGGGACACTGGGGTGGTGGTGGGGCCTTTGGGGACACCGGGGTGGCCTTGGGGACACTGGGGTGGTGGTGGGGCCTTTGGGGACACCAAGGTGGCCTTGGGGACACTGGGGTGGTGGTGGGGCCTTTGGGGACACCGGGGTGGCCTTGGGGACACTGGGGTGGTGGTGGGGCCTTTGGGGACACCAAGGTGGCCTTGGGGACACTTAGGTGGTGGAAGGACCTTGGGAACACCATGGGCACCAGAGGGGTCAACAGGATGGTGGTGGGACCCTTGGGGACACCAGGGGTGGCCTTGGGGACACTGGGGTGGTGGTGGGGCCCTTGGCCACACTGGGGTGGCCTTGGGGACACTGGGGTGGTGGTGGGGCCTTTGGGGACACCGGGGTGGCCTTGGGGACACTGGGGTGGTGGTGGGGCCTTTGGGGACACCAAGGTGGCCTTGGGGACACTGGGGTGGTGGTGGGGCCTTTGGGGACACCGGGGTGGCCTTGGGGACACTGGGGTGGTGGTGGGGCCTTTGGGGACACCAAGGTGGCCTTGGGGACACTTAGGTGGTGGAAGGACCTTGGGAACACCATGGGCACCAGAGGGGTCAACAGGATGGTGGTGGGACCCTTGGGGACACCAGGGGTGGCCTTGGGGACACTGGGGTGGTGGTGGGGCCCTTGGCCACACTGGGGTGGCCTTGGGGACACTGGGGTGGTGGTGGGGCCTTTGGGGACACCGGGGTGGCCTTGGGGACACTGGGGTGGTGGTGGGGCCTTTGGGGACACCAAGGTGGCCTTGGGGACACTGGGGTGGTGGTGGGGCCTTTGGGGACACCGGGGTGGCCTTGGGGACACTGGGGTGGTGGTGGGGCCTTTGGGGACACCAAGGTGGCCTTGGGGACACTTAGGTGGTGGAAGGACCTTGGGAACACCATGGGCACCAGAGGGGTCAACAGGATGGTGGTGGGACCCTTGGGGACACCAGGGGTGGCCTTGGGGACACTGGGGTGGTGGTGGGGCCCTTGGCCACACTGGGGTGGCCTTGGGGACACTGGGGTGGTGGTGGGGCCTTTGGGGACACCGGGGTGGCCTTGGGGACACTGGGGTGGTGGTGGGGCCTTTGGGGACACCAAGGTGGCCTTGGGGACACTGGGGTGGTGGTGGGGCCTTTGGGGACACCGGGGTGGCCTTGGGGACACTGGGGTGGTGGTGGGGCCTTTGGGGACACCAAGGTGGCCTTGGGGACACTTAGGTGGTGGAAGGACCTTGGGAACACCATGGGCACCAGAGGGGTCAACAGGATGGTGGTGGGACCCTTGGGGACACCAGGGGTGGCCTTGGGGACACTGGGGTGGTGGTGGGGCCCTTGGCCACACTGGGGTGGCCTTGGGGACACTGGGGTGGTGGTGGGGCCTTTGGGGACACCGGGGTGGCCTTGGGGACACTGGGGTGGTGGTGGGGCCTTTGGGGACACCAAGGTGGCCTTGGGGACACTGGGGTGGTGGTGGGGCCTTTGGGGACACCGGGGTGGCCTTGGGGACACTGGGGTGGTGGTGGGGCCTTTGGGGACACCAAGGTGGCCTTGGGGACACTTAGGTGGTGGAAGGACCTTGGGAACACCATGGGCACCAGAGGGGTCAACAGGATGGTGGTGGGACCCTTGGGGACACCAGGGGTGGCCTTGGGGACACTGGGGTGGTGGTGGGGCCCTTGGCCACACTGGGGTGGCCTTGGGGACACTGGGGTGGTGGTGGGGCCTTTGGGGACACCGGGGTGGCCTTGGGGACACTGGGGTGGTGGTGGGGCCTTTGGGGACACCAAGGTGGCCTTGGGGACACTGGGGTGGTGGTGGGGCCTTTGGGGACACCGGGGTGGCCTTGGGGACACTGGGGTGGTGGTGGGGCCTTTGGGGACACCAAGGTGGCCTTGGGGACACTTAGGTGGTGGAAGGACCTTGGGAACACCATGGGCACCAGAGGGGTCAACAGGATGGTGGTGGGACCCTTGGGGACACCAGGGGTGGCCTTGGGGACACTGGGGTGGTGGTGGG